CATTTATGGTTTGATTTCTTTGTATGTATGGATCACTTGGGTTGTTACCGACATCTGGTGAAAATTTCATGTCATTAGCACCTCAAGTAATATATTCACTGAGAAAAATGGTGATGTGTTCAATACTTATTTTACCCAATGTATATCCTCTCATGCTGCAGAATGGTTTTTGTTTCTTCACAGCAAGGCTGAAACTGATACTGAAGACACAGAAACCTTTGTGCATAGGAAAATTTAGCACTTAGTGCATCGTGGCACCCTGGCACGGTCCAGGAGAGTGTCACAGAGAGGCAGAAAATAGTTGGGAAAAACTTTTGTTTAAGTAAAACTAGACACTTCTTAGGGATTTGGAAGTTGAAGACAGAATTGGACCATTGTTCCCAGGTTGTTTCCATACAAATATGAAGACTTGCCCCCTCCACATAAAAGAAGGATGCATTACATTTAGTAAAATAAATAAACCTCAGATAATTGATTTTTAGGCATTGGCTCCTGTTGGTTCATTATGTGGGTGAGTAGGCGTGACCTAAAGCCCCACTAGTGTGCAGACTCTGGTTCCAACAACACAGCAGCACCTAGAAAAAATATCTCAGCTCAGTTTTTGCCAGCAGAAAGAACCAGAGACGTTTTGCTATTTTTTTATGCCAGTGGAAAACCCTGTTTGACAAGTAGAATGTAGCAGCATCATGACTGCCTTCAAACTGAAGGATTATTTTTAATACACTTGCAACAATTCAGCTAACATTCTAATTGTATAGAGCGTAGCAGGATTATCATCCAGTGTGAAGGGACCTGACACTAAATGGCACAATTGAAGAGGGGACGAAGCTCCAAAAATCGGCTTAATACAAATACTGTTTTTGCTAGCAGGTGGGATTTTTGATCTGTCTTACTGAATCACAATGGACAGCACTTTACCCTGAATCTAATCAGTTTAACTTTTTGTGCCACCTTCATTTTGTATTAACAAGCTTTTCTATTAAGCAATTGGCAACAATAGTAAATATATTAAATATGTGCTGTGCAACTAACTTTTTCTTTTTTAGCAGGAACTCCACTGTATGTTTACTTGAATGAATCCTATAATTTTTGGTTTGCACAATCTTTTCAGAATGAGGAAAAGCTTTAAATAAGGAAAGTGCGTGGAGGAACTCAGCTGTGTCAAGCCCTCATCAATACTAGACCTATATACTGTATATTGTTTGGAATAAAAGTTTGTTTTCTGTAGAAAGGCAGTGGTTTCCAAACTTTTTAGCTTCTGGCTCACAAAATAACAGCTGCAGAAACTTGTGACCCCAGATATCACTGGTTTACATATCGAAACATTCCTAAAATAATGACCAAAGTCTTTTTTATCAAGTTCATTGGGAATCTCAAAACATGTTATGGAGCATTTTTGGTTAAGCTTTTTGTTTCCTGAAAATTTTCAAAAAAGAAAAAAATACAGGCCATTACACACACATATATATAT